ACAAGTACCGGCCGGATGGGGACATTGTGAAGCTAAAGCTCTGCCAAGTTTACTGCTCTTGAAATCATAGAAACCAGTGACGACTAAGCAAACTTTAAAAGAAGCGTTGAAATTGCCGTGTCCAGGTGTGACAACTGACCTGTTTGGGGTCCTTTACGACGCCTGAAAAAAGACATCATCATCATCATCAGATTTAGGGCACTTACAGAGCTTTTAAATTGTTAGGGACCAATTAAACCCAGTTTAGGCAAGGGGCTTTATGGACTAGTTTCCAGTGCTTCTAAAAAAATAAATAAGAAAAAAATCAAGAATTAGGGCATGGTGATCATCCGAGCATAGTGGCAAACTAGTGAATTTTTCGAGAATCATAACCTTTTTAATTTAGGTACTCAAGATTTACACCAATATCTTATGTATGATAATGCTGGTTAGAGCTGGTATGATGGTATTGGTGTCCATAATACTTTGCATTTGCTGGTCTACTTATAGGACTAAAAATTCAACTTGAGGTTGAGGAAGAGTAAAAACTGTCTTTTCAGCTTTGCCACTATCAGATAATCAGATATCAGTCATAGCACTATGCTGGCAAGTATGCCCTATGGTGTAGGTATGTGCACAAAAAAATTTTTCCTTTGATCGTAATGAAAATTACACCACTGAAAAGAGAAAAAAATGTAGAAAAATATCATATAAGTATGAGTGGAGTAGGTTGAAAAATGAAAAAGATATGAATTTTTTTCCTTTTTTCAATTTCACCCCAAAAATGGACCAACTTCTGTCACTTTTTNGTCTCATCTCATATCTTGTCTCATGTCCCCTCTCATGTCTTGTCTTATGTCTCATCTCATGTCTCATCCCATGTCTTGTCTCATGCCTTGTCTCATGTCCCCTCTCATGTCTTGTCTCATGTCTCATCTCATGTCTCATCTCATGTCTCAGTCTCATGTCTCATCCCATGTCTTAGTCTCATGTCTCATCCCATGTCTCGTCTCATATCTTGTCTCATGCCTCGTCTCATGTCTTGTCTCATGCCTCGTCTCATATCTCATCTCATGTTTCAGTCTCATGTCTCATCTCATGTCTCAGTCTTGCTCTCTTGGCAGTAGTCCAGGACCAGCATACCTCACTGACTCACGACTGAACTGAACATAAACTGCGCAACATGACATGGTAGAAAAACTGTCAGAATGGCTGCAGAGCTCTGAAATTTTGAGAGCATGCTCTAAAAACTATAATCTTGATTTCAAATTACCTTTCATTAATTTCAAAAGACGATATCAATGTTTATTTTTAGCACAAATGTTACCCCTTGGACACTCCAGCTAAGCAGTTACTTGATAGACATTTCTCAAAAAAAAAAATGGTGTCATCATAGTTCAAGTTTTTTTAGTTCATTTCCAAACACAAGTCAATCAAATTAAGCAAACATTTGGGTGGAACTTTCAAAATTAAATACCTTACGCATGCCGATGCAGGAAGTGGCTGTCCGCCATTCTGCCAGCATTGTTTACATTCATGGGTACTTTGTGCACATACCTACTATGGGCATAGTGCTAGTGGCAAAGCAGAGAGTTTTTTAGACTCTACCTCAAGTTCATTTTTGAGTCCTATAAGTAGACCAGTAAAGTATCCTGGATACCAGCATTATCACACTTAAGAAATTGGTTTGAATCTTGAGTAAATGAAGAAATTAAAAATGAACTGATTCTAAAACTGGGTTGCCACTATGCGGCGGTATGGTCTGCCAAACCGCCATGGTGATTATGAAAGCAGCATTCCCCTCATCCCTGGACCCCTGGCCCCTGGAAGTTCCTCTCATATCTGTACTCCAGGGCGCTGAGGGTGGATGCAGCGTCACCAATATATGGGTTTTTAAGCCCTAAGCGTCGCCAGGTAATTTTAAGATGCGTTGCCAGGTAATTTTTAATGAAAAGCCATTTATGCTGAGTATTGAAAAACTATTTACAAGCCACGAACTTATTTACAAGGTTGCATGATGCATGTATTACCCCAAATAACTAATTTTACCCTAAAAACAGTCTGATTGTACAGCAAGTGTTAACTGAACATGTGATAATGCAGTCTGTGACCGCTCTAATCATAGTTGATCTAATCTAATAGTTGCGGTCACATTGAATGTGACCGCAACTACGTAATCGTAAGCTTTATGTTTAAATTTTTTTTTTGCGGGAACTCATCGCAACTGATTTCCGGACAAGCTTCACTGCATCCTGATTCATCCAACATATCAGAAACCTTACTTTTTTTAAATAGTTAGCCGGAGACTGACAAATATATTAAATGCAAGAATTTCAATCTAAATGTGTCGGCAAGATCTTCTGAAGGCGTAAATTTTGCTACTGAAGTGTCGCCAAAGATCTTGCAATATTCATCCACTCTCTGCACAGTGGTCTGTACTGACTGACTGTATGTGTGCTTCTTGGCGGAGGCAATTTCCCCAGACAAATTCAGCACTCCATAGTGTGAGCAACTGCTATTTATCTCACACAAACTGGTCGTCTAGCAACTCTAGCTACTATCTTATAGCCAGTGAAGAGCACTGAATCTAATGACAATTTGCCTCCCATTGCTTCACATCGTGAGACTGCCAACAACCTGGGGCTGGAGAACAAGCACCAGCTGGGAAAGAAGGAAAGAAACTGAAGTGAGAAGGAAGATGAAGACTTGAATTAAATAATAATTGCTGAGTCCAGGTGTTACAACTTACAAGCGGTCCACGCACGACTTCTTCTAGGCTTTCAAACCGTCATTAATCAATCAAAAAGAGCATTCACGACTCATGAGTCAGGCCATTATATCAGATAGGGTAAACACACCTGTCACACCATATTCCAATACATTAAGGGCTTACCAAGAAATAAATGGCTATAAAAATATCACCGTATGCGCAAATCGAGTTCTGATTGCTTTACGTCACTCTCAAAACACCACACTACGTGCCAGCAACAATGAAACTTCACAAACTGTTGCCATAAACACACCTGTCACACCATATTCCAATACATTAAGGGCGTACCAAGAAATAAATGGCTATAAAAAAATCACCGTATGCGCAAATCGAGTTCTGATTGCTTTACGTCAGTCTCAAAACACCACACTACGTGCCAGCAACAATGAAACTTCACAAACTGTTGCCATATTTATTTAAAAGCCTTTAGAATTCAAATCTACAAAATCCCTGAATTCCATCACTGTGTGTGACTAAATTTGGCATATTGTGAGACTAATTCCGACAGCACTTCAAACTCTTACTAATTCGTAATTCCGAGGCCCTGTGTTAGAATTCCGATGCATTGTGTGAGCTGTATTTGAATACGACACAGCTCGGAACAAGCTTAATTTAAAAATTTTAATTTTTTAATTAAGCTCTTAATTAAGAGCTATTAAGCTTTTAATTACAAAAATTTTAATTTTTGAACACAACTTGGAATTTGTCAATTTGTTCAATTGACTTGAAACAATCGCCAAGCATTGGTGCGCGCAATCAAACTGCAGGGCGTTGGCTTGCACTCGACTCTCAGAGCCAATCCTTGTTCCAAAGTTAGGGATCGAGCTTGCCAATTTCCCTTACCTACATGGTTCTGATTCTGCAGAGGCTACGAACCTTGTAGACAATATTCATTTTATAGAAAATTTATTCAGTTGCCCACTGGTGAACAAATTATTAGAAAGACATTGAACCAACAAATTGGCATTTATACCCTGAATTTCTTTTTCTAATTTCTTTGTTAGTTGTGGCTTTTTCAGCAAATTGTCCAAATTTCCCTGTATTGATAGCTGTTCAGAGAATTATTTTCACTGAGCACCATATCAACCATGTCTTCTGTTGAATCTAAAGAGCAAATCTCTCCACAGTCTGCTATAGAGGTAAGTTTTGGTCTTAAGCATTTAGCATTAATACTTCTAAGGTTGTAAGAGGAGATATTTTGTGTTATAAGACTAGTACTATAATCGAATTCTAGTAATTGCCTTTTTTTTAAATTAAGTACCGGTAAATATTCTTGTATTTTTGACAGCATCCTGAAATAAGGACTATGTACTTTTAAGAGATCACTGCTGGAAAATTTTGTACAAGCCACTCATAATTGAAACAAAACTCTCACATTCATGAGAGATATAACATAAATCAATGAAACTTTCAAATTTTTCACTAAAACTGAACATTTTGATTTGACTAAAACAACTCTTTAGATGTACTACCTAAAGGAAAAACAAGTACAAGTCATAGAAAACTTTATTTGTTCTACATCTAAACCAGCTACAAATGAAGAGGAGGACTTTGGAGTCCTGGGCCTGTACCTACTTTCAAAAAAAGTTACCATAACAGATAGTAAGTTCATCAGCCAATCACTGACGGCCTTTCAAGCAAAATCCACCAATCATAGACAAGAAAATAGAGCGTAAGTACTTGCATTCACTTAGCGAGTTTTTGAACATCTGTGTATTCATTAGTGAATGAATACACTCTGCATGCTTCAATTGTTTTAAAATTGAGTTTAATTTCAAGTGTCCTGTATTGCTCCATTCCCAGGGGTAATTCGGGATACATTTTTTTTTTTGCTTCTTGCACCATAGGAATAGCATATGGAATTATTTTGGAGATCCCAAATGATAGTCCTCGTAAAGACGTCTAAAACAAGCCCAACGTTGTTTATGAAATTAACATGGTAAGAAGTTATCAAGAAAAAACAAAAAAAACTCTCTTTTTACCCTGTTTGATGTTACTTATTTAGAGTTAGATACGGTGAGGTATTCCATGATTCAATCAGGTAGCAATATTGACTTTATTGCAATAGACATGATTGCTGGGGTCGTCTCAAGTAGATGCGAATAGAGGCTGGCTGCTAGTGCAGCTGAAAGATGTTGGTTAGTGACTGGTCTGTGACTGCCTTTGGGGATGCTTGAGGAGCTTATATTGGCATACATCAATGACATCACAGAAGGAGGTGATGTGGGAACTGCTATTGTAAGTAAGGGTGGTGACAGTGGACAACCTGACACTAGTTTGCTTAGTAAGAAATTTTTGGATGAATATATTCTTGTACACATGGGGTATAAAAGTAAAATAGTGTCCATTGGAGAGACATTAAGCAATATGTCATCTAGTCACCAGACTTCAGAGCTAGGCTGTTTTGCAAAAAGGGCTAGAGTTGATGGTTAAAAAAAAATAAAGAACAATGCTGGTCACATAAAAAATTGAAGTTTCACTCTTATAATTTTTATTACTTGCCACTCATGCCACTCTCATGCCCACTGCTCATCACAAAGTTATATCCATCAGCCAACATCCCCCATGCTGGACAACGAAGCGGCTACTGCCCTGCAAGAAACCACCACAGCGCCCGAGCATGAAGCCAGCCCGCTCATGGATGTGGATGTCATCATGCAGGGCTTCCAAGAATGCCTCAAAGAAGAGGCCCTTGGAGTAGATGGATATATCAGGGCATACAGTGAGATGACCAAGTAAGTTGGTTTTATTCTCTACAAATGGTTACAATGACAGAGCTAAAAGTATGCATAATACTCCATCACAAATATATTTTATCCCTTGATTTTCTATTGATTATATATATTTTTATGCATGAGGTCTCAAAAACAATGTCAATGGTACAATTCATTTGTCCATCTTTTATTTCACACTTTTTGTATTGACATTTCCATATTAGCAATATTGTTCTCTGGACAATATTAGTTTTCTTTGTTTTCTTGCTGCTAATGTATGGTTCATTTTAAAAATCCTTTCATTTGCCATTCATTATTTGTTTGCAATTTTATTGACTCTCCATTTGTCTGATATACTAATTCATTGCTTGTAGTTGTACCTAATCAACTGGGGCAAATTTTAGCAGCTATTTAATTCTTATTATACATGTACAATAACTACAATTTCTCAAAATCTTCCCAGCAGTCCATATTTTACCAATGTTGAAACCAAACTTACATTTATACGCGATAATTTGAGAACTGAAAGTTAACCAAGTATATCTTGAGTATATGTGTTTTATCAATACCGTAATATTTAAAATATTTTGAGTACAAAATACTACCATTGCTCAGCAACTGAAAATTATTGTTATATATTTGTTGCCATATTTACTGGGCATTCGTTTGCCCAGTTCTGAAGGGGCATTCGTTACCCAGTGACTGCCACAGTTAGTGCCACATGTGGTGCTAAACATCATCCAGGCTTTGTTGAAGTCTTTGCTTTGAATGTTTTGATGTGCCTTTAGACCTGTGGGAATTATATTTTAATAATATATGTATGTTTTTGTGGAGAATATACGTATCATTGTTTATTCTCATTAAATTTAAATATTCTCTGGATTTGGTTGGCATATCTTCTGCATAGTTAGCATGGGTGCATTGCTTCATCTTTTCACAAAAGCAAAAAATAACGCGCAATACCGCAAGCTTATAAGAGCTGACGCTACCACCACTGCCCCTGCGACGCCACTAGGTACTTCTCTACCAACGAGCGCCCGGCATTATAGAGGCGCGCTGCTACAGGCCGCGCCGGCTATATGCATTTTTATAAATGAAAACCTGGTTGTTGCCTTTGCACCAAGGGTAAAAGATTATTTTTTATCAAATTAGATACTCGTGTTCTGTCCAAAATAAAATGAATGATTATTTTAGGACGTTTTTTCTTGCATTTTTTATTATTTTTGGTTAATAGTTCATGAAACAAAGTTAACCATAGAGGATAAGAAGATTGAAAGAATCGATTGGGATCACATGGTTGCAGCGGATCTAGGTAGCAAACCTAAAAAATTTAGACAAAGTTAGAGTTGTAGTGTGTACTGAAGGACCTCATTTTTATTAACGGTTACATGTATTCTCTGTGCAGGTTTTTCGAGGGATTGGGTACTATGTTCAACTTCATCACTAACGATCTCGTTTCCAAAGTAAGTTTTTACCATTTGAAATGTTTAATTGTTCTCTTTTATACTTCACAACAGGCATTATATTTATTGTGGATAGTTGTTTAAAGTGTAATTTCATGCTTTTGGATGTCAATGTGAGCAAATTTATTCAATCTGATACACAGGAAAGCACAAGTTGTGATCCCTCCATATGTACTGCTCTGTAGGTGGCGGTTTGCTTCTGTTATTTGTCAGGACAACGGACTGCAGGTTCATGCATGACACTGTTTCCGTCTGCGCCGTTCGTTGTACGGCGGCTTGTCCGTTATTCGTAGTTTAATACATAATAATAACATGTTGCCGCTGAACACACGCCAGATATTAATTACTTATTGCATCTGAACACACAATAATGACGTCTTGGACACACAATAATGACGTCTTGGACACACAATAATGACGTCTTGGACACGCAATAATGACGTATTGGACACACAATAATGACGTGTTGGANATCAGCTGCTGCCATGTTATGGCGCGTCTTGCAATGTTCATATCAGCTGCTGCCATGTTATGGCGCGTCTTGCAATGTTCATATCAGCTGCTGCCATGTTATGGCGCGTCTTGCAATGTTCATATCAGCTGCTGCCATGTTATGGCGCGTCTTGCAATGTTCATATCAGCTGCTGCCATGTTATGGCGCGTCTTGCAATGTTCATATCAGCTGCTGCCATGTTATGGCGCGTCTTGCAATGTTCATATCAGCTGCTGCCATGTTATGGCGCGTCTTGCAATGTTCATATCAGCTGCTGCCATGTTATGGCGCGTCTTGCAATGTTCATATCAGCTGCTGCCATGTTATGGCGCGTCTTGCAATGTTCATATCAGCTGCTGCCATGTTATGGCGCGTCTTGCAATGTTCATATCAGCTGCTGCCATGTTATGGCGCGTCTTGCAATGTTCATATCAGCTGCTGCCATGTTATGGCGCGTCTTGCAATGTTCATATCAGCTGCTGCCATGTTATGGCGCGTCTTGCAATGTTCATATCAGCTGCTGCCATGTTATGGCGCGTCTTGCAATGTTCATATCAGCTGCTGCCATGTTATGGCGCGTCTTGCAATGTTCATATCAGCTGCTGCCATGTTATGGCGCGTCTTGCAATGTTCATATCAGCTGCTGCCATGTTATGGCGCGTCTTGCAATGTTCATATCAGCTGCTGCCATGTTATGGCGCGTCACACGATGTTCATTTCAGCCGCTGCCAAGTTATGGCGCGTCTTGCAATGTCCATATCAGCAACTGCCATGTTATGGCGCGTCTTGCAATGTTCTATCAGCTGCAGCCATGTTATGGCGCGCTTTGCAATGTTCCTATCAGCAGCTGCGTCAGTTTGTCCCTAATTCGTATGTATTGTGCAGAGTTTGTGAGCGGTTTCTTAAGGCAGCTTCAGTCAGTGAGCATGGACACCAAACTTGCCCCCATCGCCAAGCCAATATACGCGGAGACGCTCGCCAAGCATCACCCGTGGCTCATCTGCAAGACGGTGGGCGCGGTGATGCTGCTGCTTCCTGACAAGAAGGTCATGGTGGCCAGGGTGAGCAATCACTGATGTCCGTGATACAATTCACAATTCCGGGCAATATTTCTTTAGTTTTTCTGTCATATACTCGACCCATAAATCCTGTTGCTGTTACAATATATGTCGCTCACGTAATCCTTACCCGTCTTATTTGGCGCTTAAAACTTCTTCAGCTTCAATTATTTTTCTTATTTAGAACTAATTCTTATTTAGCTTCACTTACTTTTCTTGTTTGCTCTCTACTTATTCAGTGTTATTCATTTCATCGCAATTAGGAGAACGCGTCCTGATATTCTAGGTCATTAACAGGCTTGCTTGGCGAATTTAGCTCTCACTCTGGAAGTGTTTATGCTTGCCATCTTTATGGCAGGAACCAACCAATGTTGTTTGCATGTTCAATTGAGCCTACTCTCTGGAACTGATTCTGCTTGCAATCTTCCTGATAGGAACTAACGTCTGTTCTATTTTCAGCTTTTTGGGGAATCTGAAGCCGCTATTGAAAAGTCAATGAAGAAGATCCCCGGCCTGGTCACAGTAATGGACAAAGTTTATGAAGCAACGCAGAAGTTTTATTCTGATTACGATATGCTCAATTTGCCTTAAATCTTATGGATTCGGAGAAGAGATTCCTCCTATTCTGAGATTACACCTGCTTTGATTGTGATGTGAATATTTTTATAATCTTTGGTTAGCACGTATCATGCTGTGTAGGGAGAACTCCAATATTGTGCTTTGACTGAACATTTCTGATCACAAGATTAGAAATAAAGTTGGAATGTTTGCTGCATTGGAGCAATAGTGCACCGTAGTGATGAATTTCATTTCATGTGAATTTGCAAAATATGTGCGGACTTGGGCATGCGATTGAATGGACTCTTAGACAGCACTGAAAGTTTTAAAAGATCATATTTTCTTTTTAATGTTGCGCACGCAGTTCGGGATTGGGTCACATCCATTACATATGTTACGTGTGGTTTCTTTATGTTTCTTCATTGTCTACTTACTAATTTGTTTTGAGTTTCTGTCGTTTTGAAATTTGTATCGAGAAGTATTAGAATTTTTACGTATTGTTAGTAATGAATGTTTGTGTGAAGTACTTACTTTGATCTGATTATTGATGTGCGATATTGTTAGCGTCACCAGCACCATTTAACACGAATAAACTGTTGGTAAGAATAGCATGTGAGGCGTAAAATTTGCCTCTGCTTCACGAGGTTAGTGGGGTTAACTTCTGGTGTGAGAAAGCTAGCGCTCATTTAAGACAGACAGTTGGGTGCGTCAAGTCTGTTGGCTTGAGTAAGCTTCTTAGTGTTGTTCCAGAGGGCATCCATGCGCCAAGCACTAGTGTTTGCTATTTTATCATAGTAGAGTATAGCAGTGTCAGCGTTGATTTGGCCGTTAGATCTGTCGCCGATTCTTAACATCGCAGAACATTTACAGCTTGTTGCGGTCTCGAACATGCAGCTCGCTGCTTTAATTTTCCTATGCTTAACCACCCCGCATCCTCGCACATTTGACCAGAATAGTGTCATGTTGCTGGGATCGAACCTAGAACTTACTGCTCTAATAATCCTGGTACTTTGAACTGTCCTCACTGGGCCACCCTGCCTCTTATGTCCGTGTGCAGGCGAATTTTTGTACAAGGTCTGGCCGCTCACGCCTGCCCTCTTAGACTCGTCTGTGGATGGCTTGAGCTGTTTAGTCTGTACCAGCTGGAGCACACTCCAAATCTTACCCTATATTTCCTCAAGAGCTTATGATTGGAGACCCAATGACCTTTAGTGAAATACAGTGTAATTAATTTGCTGAAGCTCCTCAAATGAATTAATCAAGTGAATATGACGGGACCGCCGAGTGAAAAACTGAGATTCATATCGAACTTATGTGTCAAAATGGCGAACAAATGCTTATTATGGCATTTAAGCGTGTTAAAATAGAAAAATAATTAATAAACCAGTTGAATATCAATATTTAGCTTTTAAAATGCGAATCGGTTGTGTTACATCGTCGCGGGAAAAACACGTTATGTGAACACCGAGACCTGCTGACGCTACATCTGCTACGGTACTTGAACGCTGCCAAAGCATCACACTCCAGAGCGGCTCACTATCTATGACATTTGTGAGATATAGAAAAATCCTGTACTCAAGTCACATTTACGATGAGAAAAGTGAGCAATGATGCAGTCAAGAGCGTCATGCTTTGAACGTGCAACATGTGGAGGTTTTCGGACAGCTTGATTGGTGGTCAATTTCAATTGCATTCCCTCCAATGCCTTGTGCAGGACCCCACTACCATATCATTTTTGGCTGTTATTGGGACTTAGAGCGTTTTTTAGTTTGGTTGTTTGCGTCTGATTTTGTTTTTTACGTGAATTATCGTGTTTAGAACATTTTTGATTGTAAGATATTTAGTTGACATACGTATATCTTATATAAGCAACTCGTTTAGGGGTGATACATATAGGTTTGTGTCTTGTTAGATATTCATTCAATCGAAGTATTATTTTTTAATAGTTTTAAAGTTGCTAAATCTTGCTGTATTTTCACAGCAACCACACTAGATAATTTGCAGCACATTACATGTATATTAAGGCTGGTAGTCAAAGTGCGGTGAAGTCTGAGAGCGAGGTGTTCGCGACCATCCTGTGGGATACTCGATCGGCCTTAAGCTCGGCTACTCGCTACCCTTTAGTCTTTGTATTATGATATTCCAGCCAGTCCCTTTTTGCCGGGTATCTCTGAAGACCGTCAGGGGTACCAAACAATCATTGCAATACGGCATCGGACGGCGTTCGATCAGGTAGCTGTGAGTGAGGCGCGTGTGGCCGATCCTTAGTCTGCACAGCGCTACCTCCATCTTCCAGGATTTCTGGTATGATGAACTCTACGTTTGTACACAATCCTGAATTGTTCTTAGTTTGTTCCCACCAGATATGGCGGATGCTTGCCTTGATGATAGGGTAGTGGTCCCGGCAAGGGACCTGCTCACTATGGATCGCCTGGTCCGATGACGCCGCCTTGTCCGCCCTCTCGTTGCCTCGCACCCCCACGTGTCCGGGCACCCAGCAGACGTTCACCTAGGCTCACTCTCCCGTATATTAACTGTTAAATATATGAGATTTTCACTCCACGTACAATACTGCTCGATTGTAACTAGTTTTTGGTAGGTAATATCTACAAGGAGGCTGATAAAGAAATGCTGAATATACCATTCAGTGGAGAATAACAGTTAGAACGCGTTGACATCTTGAAATACATGTGACGGTCAGACTTGATGAACATTAATATTTAAAATTTCATGACAATTCCTACATCATAACTCATTCAATACGCAGTTTGTAGATTTTTTTTGCTACTGTTCACCATCTGTAAATAAATAGCTGGGTAAGCATGAAAAAAATTCATTTCGCCATCTCATTAACGAGTGGAGTGAAGTCCAGCCTAATTAGTGAAGAAGCTCGTAGGGAAGAGCCGAGCCTGTTCGAAGCCTCGCGGTTCTCAATACCAACCTTGAAAGCCCGCTTTCTGACGTTGCCACGTTCCTGTTGCTGGCAGCAAAACACTATTGGGATATTAGTGTTGCAACTTATCGTCGCCTATTAAAGTAAGAGCTTGTATACGGTTGTCAATTTAGTCGTTCGTGTAAATGCTGCTCAAAGTTTTTTTTGCATTCCATTATATGACGGGATTATCCCCAAATATGCGATGTCAGATGTGTATAAATTACTGGCGTTTTGATAGAGGTGGCCCAACGCCTCGTCATACGAGGCATATCATTGGGACATTTCATCATTATAGCAATTAACCATTAAATTTCATCATTGTATAAAGTGCGTTCGCAAACGTAAGGACATGTATGATAGGTTTAATTGGTTAATGATGAAATGTCCTAATGAAATGTTTCCCATGACGAGGTGCAAGGGAAACGTTTGAAAGATCATACATACGGTCCAAAAGGTATACTGGTTAAACTGCTGTTTCACGAAGTTAGAGTGAATGGCCGCGATTGTTTGTAAAGGGGAGGGGACTTCATGGCTCACGAAGTTATCGTGTCTATTTGATTGTTGTCTACTATGTTGAGTTCTTTCCCTTTTTTGTAATGTAGGGTTATTGGTTTGGTGAGGATTGTTTGACGATAGGCTTTTCATTTAACCAGTTAAAAACTATATCAATTCATCTATGGTTTCTTACTGTGTCGTGGGAATGTTCTACACAAATATAAAACCTGAAATTATACTATTGATTATTTTTTCGAGTCATACCCTCAATTTACAGTACTTTCGTGCAATTAATATCATAATTCATTGCTTCCTTCATCCTGCTAGAATATCTTTATTAAATATCGTCATTTGCTGCCACCAGCACTTGAAACGTCAAGGCTTGCCGTTGTCGTGTGCCACATCGAAATAACAGCTCTCATTCCTCATCCGGGAGGCCAATTGTAAATAATATAGCAGCCCATTACACTTAGGACTGTCGATACTAGAGAAACGAGGAATACATTTTTATTAACGCATAAATTGAAGGAAGCAGCCATTCATGACGATAAAATGGGTAATATTCAACTCGAATATAATGAAACAGGAAGCAAATATTAGAATTTGAGGAATTAAACTGTAAACAGTAATAATTTGGCAAGAATGGATATAACTACAAAAGCTGAAACAAAATTGCTTCAAGGAGGAAACAAACGATTACTAGGGTTCAATTCAACGCATGAACTAGTAAAGTAGATTCAACGCATGAACTAGTAAAGTAGATTCAACGCATGAACTAGTACAGTAGTACTAGTAACTAGATGTACATACTGATTTTAAAGTAGAAACAAGTCAGCAAATGGCTCCTGTTTCTTATACGTGGTAACATAAATTTATAAACTCCATCCGCGGTGAGTAAATTCCAAAAGAAGAAAAGCGATACACCAAATCATGCGTGGGGTCGGAAGAAGTCTTTCTGAACATGAGCTTGAGTGTTGATCCAACAGCAGTCGAGACTCCTCAAAAAAATTTCACCAACGCAAAAAAAAAAAATAAAAATAAAAAAAATTAAGTCCTTTCTTGAGCAAACAGAGAGAAGTCGGTAAACATGTCTCCATGGACAAATTCAGATGAGGTAGGCGAGCGTGTGCAAAACACTAACTACACCGATTTTGAGTTCCCGAAAAAGCCACATCAGCGAAAGGAGAAGCTCGCTGCAGGGCCGCAATGAGCGCCATGGGAGAGTCATCAGGACACTTGTTGCCAGCATCCTTCTCGCTGAAGTAAGGACAAGCTACTCTCCCAACCTCATTAGCGAAAGTCAAGTCACTCACGTCGCCCGTCACACCTCGAAATCTAGATAACGTGTCCTCGGTGGTCGAAAACTTGTTTCTATTGACCTCCGGAGCAGCGTTGGTGGTAGTGCTGTATTCTGTTGCATCGGTGGCGGTAGTCGAGGAGATAATGCACGATGAGTTGTCAACGATGCTAGATTCATCATCGCTGAGATCAGGAAAACAACAGCTCCAATACTCGTGTTCACCGACGAATAGGCGTTCGTAGGACAGATCAGACAGAGCAGTCCTGACAAGAGATGAAACGTATACAAGTTTAATTAAAACTGTAGCATGATAACATCGTGAGTCGACAGAATAGATAGAAAAGGATAATTAACTATCTTGTACTTGATAGTTGATCTGGTTGGTGAAACTATTTAAAACATTTCTTCAAAGCTCGTTGTGGTACAAGAAAGACGTTAATAGGGAATTAACTTATAAAAACATTGCAACACAATAAAGAATCACACATAGTATATATACCTGACGAAGCCATCGTCTTTGCGGTAATCCAGAAATTTGCGTAAGAGGGCGAACGAAAAGAATATTTTAGTGGTGTCGCTTTTCTCGTAAATAACGTGGCTCTGATACGAGGCTTGAGTGTCCACAAGCTTGGGAACCTCATCTAGTCTGTCAAGGGTCACTCGCTTAAAGTAAATGAACGGACATTGTTTGCAGTGCTTCTTATAGGTGCGATGGCTAGGATGGCAAGCGCCATCGTCTTCGTCATCGTAGTAACGTAGGCCTGACGAACACTGAAGAGAAACTGGCGCCTGGCGTGGCGTGACCAGTTTCAGGAATATCAGGTAATAAGTCGGGTCCGTGAGATGAACGCTAACAAGATCCAAGTAATTCCATTCAACCGTGAGTCTTTGGACCTTATTTATGAAAGGGTTATGAGTGTTCTGAGAGCTTAAGCACCAAGAAAAACAACTGATGTTATACTTCATTTCGTTGAAGAACTGAGCAAAGACGTTGAGATACGTCAAGTCCAACACGATATTGAACTTGTTGCTTAAAAATCTCTCGGTGGAAGGAGCCTCTTCAGGTTCAGGCAACAAAATGTCAGGAGTTTTCAGTTCAGCGGACACAGAGCTCCACTTGGACCAGTCTTCCGGCATCACAGGAGCTTTCAGGGACGACTTGCCAGGCATCATCTCTATGTTGCGCACCACTGCAAGCACCGCGTCTATTGCTCTCTCGTTGCTAGTTCGGGCGGGCGGGAGCTCGCTCAGTCTCGCTTGCTTTTTATCTCTCCACTGTTTCTTATGCGATAAATTGGCACTGTTTTCAATTGAAGATTGCTTCAAGAGATTAGCTTTATCTGCCTGAGCATCGGACACTTGGTTTAAGATGGACTTGACTGTAGGCTGAGTACAGCGAGCTAACTGCCCCTTGTTGAATAACACTTCATCGTAAGCAAAGATAGCAATTTGAGAGCAATACACACCAGGACTTTTGCCAACTCCGCAGCCGTCGAACGCGACACAATAGCTCGTGTAGATGCTAGTGATGCCAACGCAAATGCGACGAAACTCCGCATTAGTCCATTCAAATTTATGGTCGGGGTCTCTGAACTTCTTGCCATCAGGCAGCGGATGGTCCGTATGGAAATCCGTGTTGGGAGTCGTCAAGATCACGATTTTGGGTTTGAGCACCCCAAATATTCCCCATAGAAGCGAAGGCAGCTGATGAATGTGAAAATGTTCGATTCTGAAGAAAAATAATGATTTCAACAGTAAATACAAAAGAGAAATATCTGAGTACTTCAATAAAATAAAAAATATTCAAGTAGCGCAAACAGATTGTTTTGTCAAGACACTGAACTGACTGAACACTAGATGGAAATTAAAAGGCGGAAAAGAGTGTAAACTTAATTCATGCGCAATTTTCATCAGCCGATAAAGAGGACCGCATCCTATAAGTTGCTATCTGTTTACTATTAAATAGTATGAGCTTCCATCTAATAAGTCTTATCACGTAAATTAGTGATAACATTTCTAAATAATTTGAAATTATCACTGATATGGTAATTAACAGCATTATGGACAACAAGCCCCTTATCACATACGACGATACACAATCCATTCCTTCTGACCAGAAATAAGAATTTTGTAAGAGTTGTACCTTACTTCATTACTTACTAGGACACGACTCGTGGGGTCTGTGAAGAGTACAATAGAAACGTGATTGACATAAAATGGTCAACAACTGGGGTAGAACTGTGTTAATACATACACGAATCTTTGCTCGTAAGCAGAATTCCACACAAGACTCACACTTCGATGAGCGTTACCACGTGTGGAGAAGCTACAGGCTCTGGCAGATCCAAGACATCAGCTTCGATAAGACGTACACGCACGGTAAGTGCTCTTCGATCAGTGGACTCCTGCCACATCAACTTCTCTCGCACCTGTCATATTATTTTCAGGTCAATCTACCTCTCATTGATTCTTCTGATGCCTTATTTGTAATTTTTAAACTTCGAGATGTCAAATCACAGACAAAGTTGTTATTGATATGGGGATAAAAAGACTAGGTATTGAACTGGCCTTGCGATCTAACACCTATAATAAATAAGGATAGCAAAATTGTAAAACATTAGATTTTTTTTTCAATTTGAAAACATAAGATTTTTTCCAGCTACAATGGGAAATAACAATGTTAGTCCAGCTACAATGGTGAGCAGACTAACTTCTTTGTTTTGTTTCTATTCTTTCTGTACATAAGGAACTCTGTGCGGATTGAGATATTCGATTCTAGGAACAATCGAAGTATTTAATAAAATTTTGTAGAGCAATTACAGAGAGGCAGACTAATGGAAGCACAGCGTAGTGATAACAAATTGATGACATAGCAGTGTTCATTGAGATTCTCAATTACATACTGATACATACCCATAATTACATACTAAAATTGAAAATAAATTGCTTGATTTCAGAGTTTTAAAGTCAATTTGAAGAAATACGTTTTGATAAATAGTAGAAGTAAAGAATAAACATAGGAGATTTGACAGAGAAATGATAAGTATATTCATAATATAGAAACCAATTATGGAAGGAGTAAAATAATGTCAAATGGTAGGTAATTACAGTTATAGAAATACGTAGTAAGGTAATGACAAATGAGGTAATAATAACATGTTTACGTATAATATTTTCGGGAGTTTGAAAACAATTTCAAGACACAACTCACCAGGTGACGTAAATTCTTGTCAACACACACAATTTCAGTGAGACAAGGCATTTTGAGGAGGCTTTGAGTTAGGAAGCGTTTATCTCCACAACCGTAGTCAACAACCTTCAGGGGAACAAACACATTTTAAAATACATATACACTATCAGACACAGACAGGCTACAGGAAAACTTGACAAAATGTCTTGATGTTTTACTACAAATGTTTAAAAACATACAAACCTCACTAGAGAATAAAGAAGAGAACATATGTAGCAAAATACAAAACTTATCTATTTACCTGTCTCAAGTTGACTTATTAAAAGGTGACAAAATTTAAATTAGGCTCAAGTTTTGATTTGAGTTTTAGGTAAACAGTTGCATATATAATATATCCCATGTAATTCAGAAGATAATGGCTCAAGTGCAACATTTGGAGAAAATTTTGTTCCCCAGTCTTTTTTTTTTATAAATAACATGCCACATGTGTATTGTCATGGGAAATAACATCATAAATAACATGACATGTATGTTGTCATTGGAAATAACATTCTCAAAGCATCTGCCAGCAGCAAGAGGGTCAAACACAAGGTAGGTGCCTCCATACGGAGGATAACATTAAAGAGCTACGGTATTTTATCTTAAATTTAGTGAATATAATATATAATAATCCTGGAATAAAAATATCAAACAATGCATACATTATTACACAAAGAAAATTTAATAATATCATATAAAATTTCATCATAATTACATATACCTACGTATATACTCAGGAAGGCTATTTAAACTTGACCTAACATTATGCAATGAATGTAGTAGGTATGACAAAAGGAAGAAAATTTGTTTAAAACTGTGCATTAATTTCTAATAATACTATGTTTGATAGTTACTGAAAAATGGTGAAAGAACAAAAACCACCACATGATGTTGATCACAAATTATCCTCATCCTATCAGCTTATAGCTAAAAGCAATGGATGACTTCCAGGATGAGAGCCAACCAAACAACTGATCTGCATGTACAGGAAGAGTTGTTTGAAAATTTCATTAATTAGCATTTCAAAGACTCTGCTAAATTTGAACAGGACACAGGTACTAACAAATGTAATAATTTAAATATTAAAAATAGCATATGAAATAAATCAAGTACTAGGCACATGCATAAGAAAACTCAGGGAAACCAGAATAAGGTTCAATAATAATTTACCTTGGAAAGATTGACACCACAAAACAACAATGACCTGATGTATGACTCGACCGTGTTGAACCTAACAATATTGAGACAAGGCTTAAAGCGCACTGTGCCATCCGGGCATAACGTAGTTACACAGTTCATGTGTTCTTCATCCACAAGCTTCACACCTGCACAAATATAATCATTAATTAAAGGGGAATTTGAACATAAATTAACTATTTGGATTTTGCCTTAATAAGAAAACATTTTTGGAATGCATGTAAAACTTGACCACCATGGAGATTTCTCAGAGAAATAAATGTACTACACAATTGCCACAAGTTTTTAACACTGATATAGAATTTAATACCAATATGAAATTTATTTTACTGCATTTTAATAATACATCTAAGCAAATGAAGTACATCAAGATATCACTAGAGTTTTCATTAAATTATATTCTTATATTTGCTTCTTATGTTACCTGATGTCATGGTAATTATGGAACAGCTCCTGTGCAGTTAGAGGCAGGGCAGGATTTCCAAACATATGGTAATTGATTGGAACAAATAGCCAGTGGTATGGGTATTTCAGGTAGGTTTACTAACTTATAAATTATAGATCCAAATAAAGCAAAATGATCAATGTTGTGTTCATTAGTTAAATTTAGGTCATTGTTTAACATTATGAAGAAATGAGTTTTTATAAATTGCTTCAGGATAATGTCACAATATAATGATACATTGAAAAACTATTCAGTGTATATACAAATATACATGACATACACTTACATTCAACTTGATTTCCATTGTCCAGATTGCATTTTTTTTCTTGGGTCTCTTCCATTTTCAAATGCTTTGGACAAAGTGAATCTTTGTGTGTCAACTTGCCCTATGTCTACTAATTGATATCAGAAATGCTGTAAAAAAAAGATTATTTTATCAAAAATATGTGAACTATGGGAAGATATTAGAATTGCATTTGAACTTCAGAACTTCAGCTTCACTAACAGATTCAATCTGTTAGTGAAGCTAACCCATTTTCCTTAGAAAATTAATGAAAAGGTTGTTGATCTATATCAGGCTTCCCCAAAGTCATCTTTTTAGAAAATTTTCTCATTTATGGAAAAAAGCCGCTATTGTACTCGCCATGTCGTCTTTCTGTCTGTCTGTGTATTAATCAAGTTCTTTTAACATGATAAGGTGCTTCCATCCAGTAGGTACCTATATAAATTCTTACCACCTCAAGTTAAGTTAATGAGGCTCTAGGCCTCAACAAAATTGAGAGTCCCAACTGTGGCAATTATTTTGCTGACTCTAAAGGCTTATTATTTAAAATTGTGTTCTTTCATAGTTGCAACATTGCATTTGCACCATTTATCAAATTTTTGCCATTTACTTTTCATTGAAAGAACACATTTTTTTCCAATTGCCAGCAAGGCCTTAGCCTCCACACCTCTATCCTGCCTATCTAGGTTCAAGAAAAGACCAGCTATGTTTTACTGGTACAGTAACAGCAGAATCAGAAGCATTTTCCAGCCTCACCCTGCCCAGCTGCCTGGTATCTTCAAAGGCTTAGTCTGAGGTTGAAGCATAAAAGAACAGAAACTGATATTTTGATTAGAACATGCATCAGGCACTGATCATGATATGATGTGGTTTCATAAAGTTACTGGAGTGACCATCAATTTATGCTGGTACCCAAGCACCATAGCCCATAGGCAACTCATCTAAGTTAGTAATTACAGAGGTAAACAATTTAAATTCAACAATTATGAATTATCATACAAAGGTAGGCAAGGCAGCATTAGCTGAAATAATGTTAGGCATAATATAAAGACAATAAAACAATTGAACTTTCATTTTAGAACATCATTCAAGTCCAAAACCATGACACATCCTAAAGCTTGTGACAGTGGACGATCGCTTAGATTCAAAAACCATGTTCTGAAAATTGTGCTTGGTAGAGGTATTTTGCAGGTTTGTCAAAACACAATGGCAAACCAGGTACTTTTTCAAACTTTAAAAGATTTTTTCAGTCCTACAAGTGTACCAGGGTAGTATCATGGTCCATTCATGGATACCAGCATTATCATGCAATAGATATTGAATACAATTTGTAACTAGATCATAAAAATAAAAATGAACTGGTTTTTAATAATATCTCATTATCTGCTATCATCGAGCTATGTTTGTTACTGATACAGAAAAATGACCCGGCAGCCAGGACAACAAACTGTGGTCACTAATCAGTAAAATTCCCCCAAAAAACATTAACCCTTTCACAGGCAAGTTACAATATGGTCACTTGAATTGGAAATTTAACTCACAAAGAGACCCAGCACAGCTTCTGGTTTGAGTTTGAGGCTTCCTTATCATGCCTCAGTCTCACTGCAGCCTCACTCAATCAATAATTATCTGAACATTATTCTGTCCATAGCATCACCACCTACCATGCCCAAAAATTAAAATATGAGCATTTAAATAAAAGTTGTGACTTGGAGTCTTGGACAATGAAATTGACACTCTTTCTGCATTTGTTTAAAAGGCAGAAGCATCAATATTTTTTTAATTATTTAACAATACATATTATATTACATACGACCACAACGGTACAAGTTATGTACATATTATGTAACTTGCTTCAGTTGAACTAAATTAAATTTTTTTATTAATTTTTTCATTTGCAATAACTACTGTAAATTTTAATTATACACAAAATATTTTGTGTACTGTGTTCGTTCTTTGTAGTGTGTAGTGACCAAATATGATAAATTCTTTTAGTCAATCTAGTGCAATTTAAGGAGGAGGTCTACCCTCCGGAAAAACTTTTTTGTTTACGGATGGATCACTCTGAAACTTGCTACACATATGTAAAACAGAATTCTAAGACATTTTCGTTCCTGTGATTTTTTCAGAAAAATTTATAGAAAACGTGAAATTCATATAAAACAGACAAAAAAGGGGGTACCGGTACTGTAGAAATCTATCTCCTCCTAGGGTTTTGAAGCTACAGCAATGAGACATATACCATTCTATTCGTAAAGACCATACCAATCGAGTAACGAAGCCCGATTTTTTATTTTTGCCTTAGTTTTTTTACAAGCATTATTCCATTTTTTCTCATTTTCCCCCCTTCCTCCTCATTTTGAATCCAAACTATGCACAAATCTAAAAAAAGGGCTTCGTTACTCGATAGGTATGGTCTTTACAAATGGAATGGTATATGTCTCATCGCTGTAGCTTCAAAACTCTAAGAGGAGATATGTTTTCCGTGACAAATAGTTGAACTTTTCAGGACAGTGCGACAAAGGTCCACGCGCCTTGAAATAGACACTCAATGTAGCATAGAGACCAAACTACAGGCTTCTGTAGCCTAATTCCACTCAAGGAAGCTAGCAGTGACTTGCAAAGGATAGGGCAGAATGTCAGCTTTAAGATGAGACTAAAAACTGAAAATGCCAAATCTGAACATTTTAGGCTAGACCTCTCCCTTAAACCTCCAATATGCAAAATGTTTTAAAATAAATATTTCATTTAATACTTCTTACTTTACTAGTTTACTTTCTTCCTCTAATTTTGAAATTTCAATTTTTAAATATTTCAATGCTTGCCTGAGCACCAAGAAAAGGTTAAAATTTACAATTAAGTAATCATAATGCATTAATAATCAATATGATGATTTATGATCACTAAGAATTTCAGTAATTGAAAATAAATTCAAATAATAGAGCAGGAAATTTATAGACCCTTAAAAACAAGTACCTAGAAATAGGAAAGTCAGAACTCAGAAGTTTTGATTCTGACTCAGAAGTCAGAACTCAGAAGCAACAAACAAAGTAGTAGCTATTAGGTGTTGCTTACAAGTTACAACCTAACTCCTAGCTTTTGAACTTCAAGTACCTAATGACCAATGCATCCTACCTACTACTACATTTGCCTTTTTCAGGAATCATGAGTCCAGACTCTAGAGAAATTAAAGAGGAAATGGGTCAAAGTTAAATAGGGATTAGGCTATAAGAAAGAGCATAGAGCTAACACTCAGTAACAGAGCCACATGGCACAGAGCCTAGACTCTAGAGGCATCTAAATTTTTGTTTGTTTCATTACTGTACGACTTACTAGACGAGTAGGTATGTTTACATTTTTTATAGTTGGGGTTAAGACTTGTGGCGACAAATGCGCCCACCAGCCTGAATTCTCTGTCAGAAAGAGAAAGCAAAGCAGCAGACTCGGAGGCCGGAGCTCTGCTAGATTAGGATGGTGCCTCCAACACACTTAGGACACTAGGTAGTAGGTATGGACCTCTGCAGTCCATCTGCGTGAGCAGCGTGACCACACACTTGCTGTGAGCCTCACAGCCAACAGCTGCTTGACGCTTGTGTCTGGAGATGATCCTGTTGCAAGGGTATGTTAACATTGGCAGTTGGCACAGACTACACTCTACAGACTACAGAGTAGGCAGTAGGCTCAGGCTGTACGCACGGTACCTATCCTATGCCTATGGTCTATTGGTCTCTAATCTCGATGATTTTGAAGAACAAGAATGCATAAACTTTACCCCCCACGAAATTAGAAAATTTAAAAAAAATGCTAGCAAATATACCACACCAATAGATACACTGCAAGCGGGAATGTCGGAAAATTTATGAATGCACTTAGCAACATAGCAAGTTAGTTCGCAAGGAGCTCCTCAACTTAAGCGGTCTGCGCCTTGCCAAGAGGACTATCGACTAGAGTAGACGACTACCGTAATCATTTTTTTGCTCGTCACAGTAATAGGAGCGCCGGATCAAATTCCATAAACCTTTTTCCTCGCACGTGAAATTGCCATATTGGAATACTTGGATTTGGGGCGTAGTTACCCTGAAAAGGACTTTCATGAGTCAGTCCTTTATATCAACTTGCTGCCACGTATCACATATTCGTTTCTGTTGGTAGGAGAAAAGGGAAATGGGGTCAGTTAGAGAGGATATTATAGGAAAAGGTTAGAGGGTAGGAAAGTTTGTGTTAAGAATTATGATTAAAATGAAAACAAAGGACAGAAGTTCAAGAAGGAAGTTATCTGCAGGGCCCTAATAATCAAAACTTGGTATCTTTTGATACGTGCGTCCAAGAAGATACGAGTTACATAAGTACACCCTAATTTTAGCATTATCAGAACTTTCCTACCCAAGACTCGCCACGAAAGCTATTTTCAAAACCATCTGGCGAACTGACGACCAATCAGAGGCTTTGGATTTGCCATTCCAAGCTTCTGTCGACTCAGTGCTCGCGGATGAAAGGAGGTTGTGTCGTGTCATGGTTTAATTAATACAACCATGGTGTCGTGTCAGCGGCATTTGCGTTGACTGACCGGGAGCGCAGCCGTGGGAAACAAAATTGACTCGTAAACAGGCCCTGGGCCCACCGCCAACCATTAGCATGCAATATCGGGTAGATAGCTGGAGGTCAGCATAGCCCAAGTCCACAGTGCGATTCATATACCTTCCCGAGCGTAACGCAGCCGGGCATCTTCACGGCTTTTGACACAAAGCGCCCACCACAACAGCGCCGTTCAGTCACAGGCCGCAGCGCATACAGGCCAGAGCACAANTTTCAAATTGAATAGTCTCCAAACTTTGATATACCGTGGATATAGGGTGTGTTCTACTTTCCATGATATGCATTTGGAATTCGATTTCATTCGTAATATATTTCAGCTTAATGGTTTTCCATCGTGCCTTGTGTTTAGTAAAATCAAACGCTTCTTATATAACAAATTTTCTGAAACTGTGACTGAATGCGATAGTAAGAAAATCATTTATTGCACATTTCCCTATTTTGGTAGTGCGTCTGTAACTATGTTCAGAGAACTAAAGATTTTTTTGTGAAATATTTCCCGAATATAAATTTGCATGTTTTGCTGGTAAATAATTTTAA